CTCTCTCTCTCTCTCTCTCTCTCTCTCTCTCTCTCTCTCTCTCTCTTCCTCCCTCTCCCTCTCCCCCTCTCCCTCTCTCTCTCTCCGCCCCTGGAACCAACAAAGAAAGGGTTTGTCACTCCCTATTCAACTTGAGAGGACAGTGGGATGGGAGAAAGCAGGCAGACACCACACAGGGCATGGCACCCTCTGGTGGCCACATCTGTGGGCAGTCTCCCTGGCTCTACAGAACTCCAGGAGTAGAGATTTCACCAGGAAGAGCAGCTATGAAAGGGAAGGAGGCAGCAGATTATGAGGGCAGAAAGAAAGGCAGTTTGTCAAATCTCCTATCTAAGATCTGCTCCTCAAGGGCCTTCCATCAAAAGCATGCCTGGAGGACACGTGTGGTAGCACATATCTGTAATCCTGGCAGAGACAGAGGCAGAAGTATCTCTGTGAGTTTGAGGCTGAGCAGAACTACATTACACAGTGAGACCCTATCTCAGGGGGAAAAAAGAAAAGAAAGAAAGAAGGAAGGAAAGGAAGGGGGAAAAAAGGCAGGAAGGCAGGCAGGAGGCTGAAATTAGGAGGCTGCAAAATCTACCCTGAGGACCATATCCAGCATGCTAGCCTTTTGTCTGTTTTTTTTTTTTTTTTTGGTAAGGTCTAAGATTTGAAAATGTTCTTTTATATTATTAAATGGTTGAAATATAAGAGAGCGAGGTGTGTAGCAAAATATAGTGTTTGCCCTACAAGTTGGATTCTGTGTTGGAGGAAAGGCGAGAGGGGACCATGATCTGCTTGTATGAAATTCACATAAGTACATCCTATGGACATGTTTACAACCCAGAGTGGCTGTAATGGCCAGATGAATAGCTTCAAACACTGGTAACTTTTTTTTTTTTTTTAACTTTTGAGACAGGGTCTCAACAACATAGGACAGCTTGAATACTTACTATTTAGCTTTTGGTTTTTTTATTAACTCATTTTAGCTTTGTGTATATGTGTACAGATGGTAATATATAAGCCTGTGTGTGGAGGGTACACAAGCCAGAAGACTACCTCAGATGTACCACCTGACCCTCCACCCAAGAGTCTCACTGCCCTGTATCTCAGTAACTAGGGTAGGCTGGCTGGCCAGAGCCCCGGGCGTTGGCCTATGCCCCATCCATCCCTTTAGTGCTGGGATTGTAAGAACACACTACCATACCCCATGTTTTTCAAAGGACTTCTGAAAATCAAACATGTTCTCAGGCTTGCCAACAAGAACTTCAGCCTGAGCTATCTCCCCACCCATTTCTGACTTTGTTTGTTTGTTTGGTTTCTTGAGATAGGGTCTCTCTACCTAGCCTTGACTGTCCTGGAACTCACTATGCAGATCAAGTTGGCCTCCAACTCACAAAGATCCGCCTTCCTCAGTCTTTCAAGTGTTAGGATTAAAGGTGTGCATCATCAGGCCTGGCCTATTTTTTAGCTTATTGGGGTAGGGTTTCACTCTTCCTGCCTGGCCTAGAATTCACTCTGTAGACCAGGCTGGCTTTGAACTTGTGGTGATCCTCCTGACTCAGCCTTCTGAACAGAAGTGCTGGTATTACAGATAAACACCATTACTCCCAACAGGACCTTCATTAAAAGAGTTCACTGGCTCTTGTTTCTTGAAACTGTTCCCACTGACAGGCCTGGACTTTGAGAGCCTGGTCTTCACAGCTCTACTGTGTACATGCCATGGATGCTGTAGCGACCCAATCCCACTGTCCCCCACTGGACACTTCCTCCAGACTTACCATTTTATTATTGATTTCATGGAAATGAATCTCACAGACTTTCTCCACAACGTCTTCATTCTCAAAAGTGACAAAGCCAAACCCTAAAGGAGAAACAGAGGAAGAATGAGTTTGGTTCCTGCAGGGTAGGCAGGGGGGCCTGCAGTCAGGACAGCTTCCAAACGCACAGGAGTGTGGGTAGGATATGGGGGGGGGGGGATAGGGATGTTGTGGTCTAGGCAATGATTCCAGTTTATAGTCAACACCCTTCCAACAGCAGGCAACAGTCAGGAGTCCACCCACATGCAGCAGGCCCCCTGTGGCTTACATTTGCCTAGAAGCAAACAAGAAATTTACTTGTCTGTTATTTACAAGGGTCAGAGCCTGCTGGCTCTGTGTGGAGGCAGGCTTGTGGGCTGCAGAGAGCCTCTTGGATCACTGCGGGGCCGCATTGGCCCTTTCTGCGAGCTTCGATGGCTAGCCCTCGGGTCGGCCTCCATGCGGAGGCGGTTATTGGTCCTTTTCTTCCTGAATGACTTCCTCTAATACCTCATCAGGACATCCTGAGGCCTGGAAGGAACTATTAAAAGTTGCAGGCCTCTGTTCTGTGCGGGCATCTCTTTGCTGCTGCCGCTTCAAACACGCTGTGGATTTGGGGCAGTTTAAGACTGTCTGATGCCTGCTGTCAGCCCGTCAGCTATCCACTGTATTTACTCGGCTGGAGACTGGCTTTACTAGACAAGCTGCACTAAAGAATTTTGGCAGGCGACTGCAGATCAGCATCCTGCGTGCCTCTCTCCACCCTCCTGCCCCTTCCTTTCTTCTCTTTCCACCCCCAGCAGCGTCTCCAGCATGAGTCCCCATCTGCAACGCTACTCAGTAAGCACCAGGGTACCACGTGGGCCCACACATGGTAGCTCGACCACCTTGCATCGAGCGTGGCTGTCATGTTGATACTAAAATGCAAGGGGATTTGGGCAGAGATGGAGAGATGTTGATGGTGCAGGGGCCTGGTTATAGTCTTGCCTGGGTATAACCTGGGGGCCTCCTTCTGTTCTCTGGACCTCACTCTTTGTACTTGGAAGTGAAGGTGATATAAGCAGATGTCAAGTCCCCCAGATCAAGACTCCCAGATCTCTTATATGTGTGTATGTGTGTGTGTGTGTTGGGGGGGGGGTTGCTTTGGGAGGTGAAATTTAGAAGGTGAAGATGAAACCCTTGCTTTGTTCCCCTTTCCTGCCCAATCAGGCTACAATAAGGTATCTTTCTGAAAGCCTGTAAAGGGGTCCTTCCCAGGACCAATGATGCTGGCCCCTTGACTCTGACATCTTGCTTCCACAACTGTAATAGATTTGTTGTTTACAAGCTATGGCATTTTCTGACAGCAACCCCAAATAAGACACTCTTACCCCTAAAGACATGAACAGGCCAAATGCAAAGCATAGTAAGATAATATCTGACTGGCTGTTTTTGCAATATGATTATTGCTATCAAACAGATAAGAGACAGATGTAGCCTTTTTCAGTTCCTGCATCTGTTTTGGGGCTCAGCTACCCACGGTAAAAAGAGAATCTCTCAGGTCCCTTCTAGTTCACTTTCCAAGGGCTAGCAGGGAAAGGGCACCGACACACAGAGCTTACACATCAGTTTCCACAGCGGGTTGTAGAAGATTCTTAGGAAAATGAAGGTGGATCCCTGCTCTCCAACAACCTCCAGTAAAACAGACGACCAGGTCTCCTACACAAATGCAATCGCCATCTCCAGGCAGTGTCATGTGTTACCACGTACCAAATTCTGAGCTGACAGTCTCTCCCGGTACACAGAGCCTAGTACATCACAGGCATGAGCCTGGCACGCTCTAAAGAGGACACAACTGTCTGCACAGGGGTCCAAAATGGTTAAGTTTTCACAGCATCTCTGGGTAAAAGTTGGGTCCTCAGTACCTGAGGCCTGAAGCAGATGCCACACATGAGCTAAACTGATGCTCAACCACAGCCCCTCCCACCAGGCTCATACTTCCCAAGCCGTGTCCCTGGAGAGAACCTACAGAGCTTTCTGACTCATCTTTGGGCGTCCCCTTGTCCTTGGCCCTTAGCCCCACTCATCATTTGCAAAGTTGAGGACAGCCATACCTGGTGGCAGAGCCCCAAGCATTTTTCTTTGGCCTCTTGGGATCCTTGTTTCCTTTAAACACCTTCATTTTCCTAAGGGTGCTAGCTCACCACCCTCTTTCAGGTTGGGAGAAGCCTTGGAACTATCAAGTTAAGCTTCCTATGCGCCCCACCCTGCAGCACAAGCAGGGACCTACATCTCAATCACTGACCTTTTTCCTGCTGTGATTCTAGAACTCTGATCCTACTGGACTTTATAAGAAGGGATAAAGACCGAAGGCCCCTCCAAGGCCTCCAGGGTGGGTAAGTACAGAGAGGGCATGAAAAGGAGGAGCCAGTACTGACTTTAAACCAGACATGTTCTGGTCTAGTATAGGTCTGGGACCTTGTTCTCAGTGGGTCCCTGGGATGAAACAGCACCTATAAAACACACTATGCTCAGAGAATGATGGACTGGGCTTGTTCCATGTCTCAGGATCTGAGCATTTCATCACTCTGAGTCAGTACTTTGCCTCTGGATTGATTTGGTCCTTCCTTCTATAACAACTGTCCTCCCTCTTACATCCTGCACTGTGCCTTAGACCAACAGGACTTAAAAAAAAAATAAACTCTAGAATTGAAGGATCCCTCAGAGACAGCCTCCTCCCTGGGCAGACCCTGCCTCCATCTTGTCCCTTGCTTCCAGCCTCCGGCTCACATTTGCCTGTGAAGGCAACCCCTCAGGCCTGGGCCCACCTAAGCACCTTGCAAGTAAAACAAGCTCAAATGAGCTAGGGTTTCCTGCAGCTGCTCTGTTTTACCTCATTGCTAATTAGAGTGACTGTGTAGGCTGAAGAGTTACCAACACCAGAAGCCCCGAGAAAGTGTTTTTTTTGCAAACGTGATTTGCAAGCGTTCCTAGCTGAGCATCTTGTGTCCTCAAAAGTAGCAGATGGGGAGAGATACAGAGAAAAAGCCAAAGGAGGGCAAATGCAGGCATGGTACAAGTGATACAGCCACAACCAACCACCACACGCCAACAAACACTCACCTGCAACTGTGGAGGGAGAGCAGCCACCACCTCCAGCATAACAGAAAACTGACTGCTGCTGCTTTCAGCCCCCAAGTGTGTGGTTATTTTGTCATGGCAGTCACAGGACAGTCACACAGTGAAGGGTAGGTTTCTGCTGTCTCTGCAGAATGGGACCATACCCCTCCCCCAGCCAGGCTGACTTGCCAACTATAGTACTCTAGATAGAAGGTTTGTGTGTGGATGAGTGGTGAGCAAAAGCCTATGCAAACTATTAGGAAAGAAGGTAAAGCAAGTGACAGTCCAGGAGGCAGAGGACGGCCAACGGTTTGGAGGACCCTAGTGCTTCAGCTTATTCACACTTGACAAGAGACAGAGGCAAGGGTGCAGTCTTGCCACTGAAGTTGCATCTGTAGCTACCTTAACTCCTGATCCACTGAGTGAGTCACCGCTTCAACTCCAGGTAGCTATTTCTGAGACCTGTGCTGGGCCACCAGGCAGAGACTGGAAGGGGACAGTCAGCTAAGAAGTGTACATTAAAACACAGATGGCCGTAAAGGAACCAGAAGGCTCTTGAAATAATTTTGGATTCTGATTCTGAACTTCCCTTCATGGTCCCTCTTCCCTAACCCCACAGGACTCAAAAAGTGTGTATCACCAAAATTATTTTCCTGGGGCTGAAGAGTTTGGCCCAGTGGTTAAAAGTATTGCTGCTTTCCCAGAGGACATAGGTTCGACTCCCAGAACCCACATGATGGCTCGCAACCATTTGTAACTCCAGTTCCAGGGGATCAGATGCTCTTTTCTGAATGAACTCTGTGGGTGCTGCATACTCATAACACATGAAATAGAAACAAAGTCCTTAAAAACAAAATGTTTTTCCTGACTAAAGGAAGACAGCCTGGGTTCGAAGCCTCTACACCCTGGATATGTCATGATTCAGTGGTGTCAAGACTCGTTTGCAGTCTTTTAAGCATCTATATCTCTTCAACATCCCTGTCTGTTTGGCCCGAACAGAGAAAACAAACTTGATTATGTCTAAAATATTTATTTATTCCATCTGGGGAAGCAAAGAAGCAACGAAACACTTAATTATCAATAAGTGTTATTTCTCAACATATAATCATTTTTATCTCACAGGTGCATTATCATTTCCAATGAATTAGTAACCCACTGGTGAACAGCGTCCTCTTCCCCAAGTAGATTAAGCCGTTGGGTGAAAAGCAGAAATAATGGGATTTGGAATTTGAGAGGGATGGGTAGTGAGTGGGCATTATAGCTTTCTTCCAAAGTAATGTAATATATATTATATATTACATATATATTATGCATATATACATATATATATATATATGGTTGTAAAATATACACAACACAGAACTTCTCATTTTGACCTTTCTTTACGTGCACAGCCCAGTGGCATGAGGGACAGCAGCACAGCTGAGAAGCCATTGCCACACCACCCATCTCTGAAACCTGTTCGACATCCCAAACTTAAGTTGATACCCACTAAACAGCAGCCCTTTCCAGTTCTGGAAATCTCCACTCCTTTCTGTCTATGCTAGTGGCTCTCATCCTTCCTAATGCTGTGACCTTTTAATATAGTTCCTCATGTGGTGGTGATCCTCAACCATAATTATCGTGTTGCTACTTTATAACTGTAATTTTACTACTGTTATGCACCGTAACGTAAATATCGGCTATGCGACCTCAGAGGGGTCGCAACCCCCAGGTTGAGAACCATGCAACAATACATCCTAGGCATCTTTGTAAGCACAACCACATAGCACTTGTCCTCCTCCCTCTGCTTGGAGCACTTAGCAACAAAGGCCAAAAGGCTGGGGGCGGGGGGTTTGCTTGGGGTGTAAAGTGAGTTCGGATCTCCAGTGCTTGTATAAAACCTGGGCTTTGGCAGTATACATCTACCTGTGGGCCAAGTAAGAGGACAGAGACAGGTGGATTCCTGGGGGCTTGCCAGCCAACC